GCTGAGGGACGTGGTCAGGCTTGTGGGGCTGGTGTGGTGCTTGGGTTTAGCACAGACACTCTTCCCTGCGGGGAAGGAAGGACCAGGCCCTCGTGAGCACCTGTAGTCTGTGCACCTGCATGAGCACACGTGTGTGTGTGTGTGCGGGAGGGAGTCTGAGGTCCAGACAGAGATGTTTACCCATCTGCGTGATGGTGCACACATGTGCACTGAGCATGCATGCAGGGGCCCACTCCTGGCCCAGAGCATCCTAGGAGGAGTGGGGCTGAGGGGCAGGGGCTGGTCGGGGGTCTAAGCCCCAAACTCTGGGTGTGGAGGGGAGAAAGGGGTTCTCAGGGGTCAGTGGAAGGAGTCCATCCTCCTGAAAAGTTTGAGGGCCGGGGGCTGGGACTCCTGAGGGAGGGGTAGATAAGGCCAGAGGTCACGGGGTTGGAGGGTGACCTGTCGGTCACATATGGAGCCCAGGTCAAGGGGGCGAACACACCAAAGTGAGAAGGAATGCGAATATGGGAAGACGCTGGGGAGAGGGCGAGGGGCACAGCCCGCCAGTGTGGAAAACACACCCACCACAGGCGGCTGCCGCCCCAGGGGTGCCGGATGGAAGGCCGGGCGTGGGTGGGTTTCAACCACCAGGACCCCTCGGTGGGATGCCTCAGGCAGGGCACAACCCACACAGCTGTACGTGGTAGCCCTGGGGGCGGGGGACTCTTGGAGACACACAGACCAAGGTCAGCTCCGGTGTGACTGTGGGAGCTGGGGGACCTGGGGGCATCGTGGAAAGGCCCAGAGACAGGCTGCTTCATCACAGCGGTCGCATGTGCCCAGAAGGACCACAGATCAGCTCCCCAGCCCCGGGGCGGGGCCACCACTGCTGGGAGCGTCTGGTCAACGCTCTGAGCTGGAGCTGGACACCGAGGAGGGGACCATAGGCAGGAGGGAGTCCCGCCCTCTGTGGAAAGAGAAAAAACACATCGACCGGGGACGCGTGGGAGCGATCACCGCCCAGGGTCGGGCTGGTCTGCCGGCCTTTGATTATTTATCAGAAGCAGCTGGAAGAGGCCTGAATGCCCAGAATAGAAACTGGCTATCCAAACCGAGGTTCTAAAAATACGCTGGGAAAAACGGACTTCCTGTGTCCGCACTCACCCTCGGGTGTATCCGTGGGGAGGCCTGGAGGGTGTCTGCGGTCCCCCCACCCGCCCTGCCGCTAAGTGGCTGGGGAGGGTGTCTGCACACCACTCCCCCATCCACCCAGAGCCACATGCTTCCTCCCCACTCTCTGCACTCAGAGGGCAATTTGGCAGCTGCTGCCTTTCAATTAACACTGCAGACTCAAAACGGGGGCTGGGGGAAAGGCGGGTGGGCAGAGGAGAAGCACAAGCTGGCATACTGGCAACTGGGCGAAGCCACCTGCTCCATCGGCAGGGGAGTTAAAGGACCCTTAGAGCTGGGAGCGGGGTGAGGGCAGCCTGCCGCACCCCCACCTCCTCGCCCCCCACGTGGTCAACGCTCTGCCCACTTCCTGCATCCCACCTGCACGGACCCGCACTTGGGGTTGGACCGGCAGGAGGAATGAGGATGAGAGCCTCCCCTGCCTGGCAGGGGCTGAGCTCCAGGGTCTGCCCCGCTCCTGCCCCCACTTCTGCCAGCCCTGGGGCCTTGGTTTCCCCTGAGGGCTCTCGCTCAGCCCTCAACACACTCTCCTCGGCACCCGCGGCACCTGCGAGCTCCCATCTCCTGCCAGGACCCTGGCTGCAGCCCCCGGTGAGCGCGGGGCTGTAAGATCAGCTCCCTGAGGAGAGGCCAGCCCTCATCACATCCAAGGTCTTTCAGGAGGGTGACCGTGACCCCAGCTGAGACCGTGACTCAGACTCAGGCTGCAGGCACCTGGGATTGCTATTCCCACCCACCTGAGACCGGCGCACTGTCATCGGCACTTTCTAGACGAAGAGACTGAGGGTCCGGCCCCGAGGAGGCCCAGGTCTGTGAGCGGCGTGGCCCGCTCTTGGGGCCCGGCTTCCCAGCTGGGAAACAGGCAGGCAGAGCTCCTCCTGGGCTGCCGCAGGGCAAAGGGGACATAACGGACGCAGAGCTGAGTCTGGGCATAGTGAGCCTGGTTTCCGCCACCCCCCCGG